ACGTGTGCTCTTCCGATCTTGCAGCATTATTTTTAGACTATTTAGTATAAGTATTTTTCATGCAAATATATATTTAATAGTTATGACCGTGTATATGTTTATTTTTTATTTTGTAAACATCTAATATTTTTATTAAACAGCAAATTTATTTATTTAAGAATATGCAATATAAAATGTTATTTAATAATTAGGTCGTTGCTGAAGTAAAATATTATGTTAATTTTAGACTTTAAATTAAATATTTTATTTTTAAAGAGATAACAGGTAACGGCGATTTGTATATGTTTACTGCAAATGTTTATATGCAATTCATTTCGATGTTATTTGTTATCTCTCTAAAAATAAAATATTCAATCTGTGCGACTTAAATTTTTTTTATTATTCAATCTTATCAAATAATGCTTTATAAATATAATATACAGCATATTTTTAAATAGATAAATTTTATTTTCTACAAGACACTTTCTATTACTATCTATCGATACATTTATTTTTATTAATAAATATTTGAAAAAATAAATTTTGTTAATACAACAATTAATCAAAGATATTAAAGTAATAGCTAATAATATGAGCCGACATGGATGTTGGTGTGTAATATTGCACATTATTGGCTATTACTTCGATATCGTTGATATATTCTTAGAAGCCTGATTCCCTCTCTTTTCAAATTTATTTACAACAATTAAATTAGAATACGCGATAGTTTTATCTAGATGTAAGGTAGGAGAGAGTGGGGAAGCGAACACGTACAGGGAAAAACCTGAACGATACTGTTCAGTATATTAGGATATATAGAGATAACTTCGCACTTGTTACCTAGCGATAGTCCGATTATATGTTCATTGTCAGTACAATATAATATGTGACCACGGGACACTGTTTAAGGTAAATACCATTACATATTTACAATGTTTTTGATGTAGAGAAGAATGGGGAAACTGCAATTACCTAAGATAAAAATAAAATAAAATCAATTATTTATTATTTATAGAAGTCTTTATTCCAATTATATGGGTCTTAACTATTGGAGGAAGTTCGCCGTTACTGTTACACTCACTTTCTTTTTGGATCATTTTGGATATTTTTTAAATAAAAGTTGAAAATAAAATTTTGAACACACAAATATATAAATACACAAATATAGTGTGCGAATAGAGACGTTTATAATTATTTCTCGAAAATAATACTTTGGAAAATAACTTTATCACACATGGTTGAATTTGTATTAAAATAACCTTCAATTTGGTCACAAAAAAATTTTAAAATTTAAAAAAGAATGTAAAGTGGCAAGGAAAATATTTAAAAAAATTTTTTTTAATTTTTTTATTACTATCATAAAGTACACTTCAAGCTATTCAACTTTGATCTAGAACACTTTTTTCTATCTCTCAGTTTCGACGATATTCACGTTGGAAGAAAAAAACCGATTTTATTCAAGGGGTGATCTCATTCCTTCAAAAGGGAATAGAGCACCAACAAAAAATAGTTTCGTACTACGGATGAACTGTTCTAATTTTACACAAAGTTTTCAGATTTTTTTGAATTTTTGGGTTTCCTAACTTCCCTTGTTAGTTTATAAACAGGATTCCTTGTCTTAAAGGGAATATTTAATTATTTATTATTTTTTTTATATTGATACATAATGTTTGACCTACGATAATCTCAATCTCTGCCTTGTATATTGGGTTGCGTTTATTATTTTATTTCTGACTTTGTTACGTGGTTGACATGTGTCTCTCCGTTCAAATGATTTGCGTATTTCGTTTAATTTCTCGCATCTAATTGTCAACTCTTACGTTTCTGGACTTTGGGTGAGTTTTTGTTTTTCGGTTATACAATTTCGTCTTATCCAATTCTCTTATAATTGCTGTCACGATTAGAGTTGTATCGTTTACTTTTATACAGTTTGACTAATGTTATACTTGACAAGTCGTTATTACTGAAATTACCAACCAGGCATCAACGATGCCTGCAACGTTACATTGGGGATAAATTCATAAGAAATTACGCTCGCTCTTTACTCTAGAAATGTTAAGACTATTATTCCATCAATTGCTGAAGATGATTCAAAATTAAATCGAAACGTTCCTAGACTAACAAGTATTCGATTAAAGATATTTCAACAACTATCAAGATGTTCTAGGCTTTATTTACCGCGCTATAGCTCCCATTAGCTTTGTTTTTTATTCATTATTTGACAATTTTGGGAGTTTTTTAATCTTATATGAGTTTTTTATCTTTTTAATTGTCTAAACAGATTAATGGTATTTATCAGTATTAATAAAGTGCAACGTTTCTGAGAAATAAATGGTGTGTCTTTAAGAAACCTACATCAGTATCGACGATTTCTATAGATGTGCAAATTAATTCTATCTTTTTTCATGAAATTCAAAGTTTGTAATTCACCAAAAATTAAAATAATTTAATATTAAAAAAAATCTTCCTTATTTTCTATGATTTTATTCCACATGTCAAACGAATCTGTCGTAGAAAAGGTTTGGAGACAAATTTAATCTAAGGATTAAAAGGATCTAAGGTTTCATTCCGAAATCTCTGATATCATTGTTTGCACGTTTTATGAATCACAACGCCTTCATTCAAAACAAATCATTTCCATGGCTTCAACATTCTTTTTTAATTAGAATGTAAAAAGAACGCAGTGACTCAAATGGATTTTTCGTATGTCATCGTGTTCAGTGCTACATTGTTTGCTTCGTAAAAGCATGTAGTGTTTTAAAAACTTAGGGTTTACTTGTAAACTGTAAAAGAAAATATTTAATTTTAAAATTAAACTCTTAAGTTATTCCGAATATAAATACATCTAATTAATTTGCATACCTAATATTAGAGTAAATATGTATAAAATTATTAATGCAATTTTAATTTTTATAATAAGGGAAATATAATTAATATTATACAAATCTAGTATATTTTTTATGTATTGTGGTCTCTGTCTCTCTTTCTATGTACATATTGTGCTCGTGTATTATAACTTATATATTTATATAATATATGCTGCATTATGATGATCCTTATTTTTCGAATTTTTTCCGCAGCATCTCCCCAGAATGTTTCCAATAATCCTTGCTAAATACCCATGTCTTTAACTTGTTAAATATTTGAGTTTTCTTGTATTAAACTTTTTACTTTCACTATCAACATTAGTTTTTAGAGAATATTTTCTATAAAAATCGGCGTACAGGACTTTTCTTTTTTTAACATATGTATCTTGTTTTTTTGAATAATTTGAGACCTTATACGTTTCATTTAAACAATTGAATGAATTGTTAATAATTAAAAAATAGAAATAAATAGTATGCATATAGTATGCATTTTTTAATTATTCAAGCTGAATAAATTGATCCATGAAAAAAGAAAAGTAAAGCGTAAGAAAGCGTTCGTATAGCATTAAGGGCACAAAATAAGTTTAAAATATAATGAATGTCACGTTTTTATTAATAAATAAGCAATTTTCTTCACATTTAACATTACATAATAATTAATAATAATATTATAATTGTAATTATTAGTCACATTGGCGTTAGCTTGAATAATCCCCAATCAAGTGTCATGAGGATATTATTTTTATTTTTTTCTTGTTTCTCGAATGTTAAACAAGGATAAAATAATACTTAAGGCGTACTCGGATGGGATGCGTTCCAGAATGGGGATTGGGCGATCTGGGGAAGAAAGGAAGGAGCTTTCAACTAAGTCAAAATGGTGGTAGGGACTTCGTGGAATAATGACAACAGCGTAAACACAGGAACCGATTTCGAAATAATGAATGACTTTGACATTCAATGGTTTATATGAAATTTAAAACAGCCGCAAGTACGATTTCTCATTATTGAAACGAATTGAAGTTTTACAGACGCTTTTTAAGTGACTTGAAATTATTCAAGTTGTTGCCAATGATTAACAATTATAGTTATAATATTATTATGTAATGTTAAATGTTACAAAAACGCTTTATATGTAAAACATATCTATTAAAAAATTTATTATTTAAAAATGGGCATAACATTAATGCAATTGGCTGAGAATTATATATTCATGCAAAAATGTATTAAGTAAAAGCTCGATGCGTCGAAAAATTTACGTAACAAAATGTTTTACACATCCGAAAGCATACCTATGCTGTAAAGGTTTAATATTGTTATTTCACGCAAATTCTAAATCATGTAAAAAGAATTGAAAATGGCTAAAATGATTAATTGGCCGAATACGGGGTTAATTATTATGTTTTTGTAGCTTTATTGAAAGTTAAATAACTTATGTGTAGGATGGTACATTTAAGAGAACTATTTTTTCAATACTTAAAAAATACTTTAAAAACTTCAGTGCATTGTAACATACACAGTTTTTAAATTTTATATTAATTTTTTTCTAAAATTCACTATTCAAAAATTGACACCCGATCGTAAAACTTTCTTCTTCGGACGCAAAGTTACCCTATATCACACACCATATATTCAGCCATTAAACATCCTGTATTTAATGGCGGATTTGATTATAAGAAAACCATGAAAAATATTTCTCACACAACTTCACGAGAAATATGATCGACATCGTTCGATCACGAATACATACGTGATTTCAGCGCGTCAAATGTATTAATTTCTTGCAAATATTGTAACTTGATTACGTTCAACAAAATCTCAACGTCGAACGTATGTACGTACGCAAAAACGACAAAGGGAAAAGCTTTCAATTGAAATCTATTATACAGTTAATTAAAACAGCAAATTCAAATGTTAAGGAAATACGTACGTCTTGGTGTCAATGGATATAAGGAAAAAATAAATCGGACGAAAAAACGGCGAGAGAGGAACAGACCGGGTAAAATAAAAAAATGGAAAAGCCGAAATGAATGGGGAATGCCGGCTAGAAAGAAAGAAAGAATAAATTTTGCGTGATAAATTTTGCAGCGAGCAATAAATTATCACAAAAAATGCTTTCGCATTTCGTGACACTGCGACAAATAATGATTTATCGAAGAAATTCTTTAATTTTATTTCAATTTCAGAAATGGCCCCAGATAAATCGTCATGGTTGAATCTACGCTTCGTAGAGAAGATTCTACGAAAGTCGGAAAGTGACAATTCAATTCAGATAATCGATATATTCTCGAAACCGGCCATGAGTAAAGGTGACAACTACAGCAGCGACATAATCAGAATCACTGTCGAATTCTCGCGTGACCAAGGCGGCCGCAAGATTACAGAGAAAAACTCAATCATCGTCAAAATCTCGCCTACAATCAAAGGTGGACATAAACTTGTAAGTTGATTTAACTTATAGAATGCTTCTAACAGAGAAGAGAAAAGAGAGAGCGAGAGCGAGAAAGAGAGAGAGAGAGAAAGGGAGAGAGAGAGACATCAAAATGTGACAGATTTCATTTTTTCGGTAGATTTATGTTTAGCAAGAAGATTAAATTATTTTTTGGTAATCAGTAATTAAAAATAAAATTATTTTGATTGATCAAATTTAAAGAAGCAAATATATTTAAAGAAAACAATCTTCAGTTATTTCAAAATGAATTTTAATTTATGAAATAAGCTTGTTATATATATGTATACAGGGTGTCTCGTACTCAATGGTACAGCGCTTGTGGGCAGGTAATGTGGAACAAACTGAACAAAAAGTCCTCTACCATTTTGCGATCTTCGTAATAGTTATCGAGATACTAATCATTTTAAAAAAAGAAAAAATTTTACATAATGGCTAAGTTTTTGCTTCACTATGATTTTATTGATCATTTTAATAACTCTAAGTCTGTTTTACGAAACTTACAGTTATTTGGAAAGACAATGGCATTAAACTTTTGCTGCATACAATTTTGAATAATTTAAACAATTTATTAAAAAAATATTTTTCTGATTTGGAATAAAATATTTTTGTTTCTACTCTTTATGTCTAATCAAATACTTGGGAATTTGTATGATCTCATATTTGTTTTTGAACAACTTTTATTTGTTAAAATGATATTTTTGGTTTAGATGAGATGTACTTAATGTACGATACACTTGTATATACTTGGCGTAAATTTTTTTTTCAATGATTATTATGTATCTCGATAACTATTGCAAAGATCGCAAAATGGTAGAAGACTTTTTTATTCAGTTTGGTTCACACTACCTGCCCATAAGCGCGGTACCACTGAATATGAGAATGTCTCAGGATTAAACAATCAAACAGCAGAAGTATATTCTAGAAATAAAAATAAGAAAAAAAATGTTATATAAAGTTTGATCACAAATGTTTTATTGCAAAATTATGCACATGATCGGAATGATACTGAATCGCATATAGTAAATCTGTTGCAGAAATAAAAAAATAAATAAACACATTTCCATACACAAAATATACACTTTTATATTCTGCGCAATGAAAAATCCATTGTTTCTTACTTCATGCTCCGTTTTATTTATGACCTTACGAGGAATTTATAACCATACTTCATATAATACTTTTTTTTAATTTCACTTGTAGGATATATAAATACAAAATTACCTTTTTAAAAAAAGAGGTAAAAAAAACGCCAAGTATACGCGTCCTCCGTACAAATGTTTCGCTATCAAAAATTAGCGTCAAAAATTTATAGTTGTTAGTAAAATAAAATAA